GGAGACAAAATCCAAAGAAGAAACAAAGGAGAAATAGGATGAAGACAAACAATCATAAGTAATGGTAAAAGCATAAAGAGGGTTAGGATTATGAGAGGAACGAATACCTTTTTCCATCGCAATAGGAAGTTTAAGTGCAGGAGACGTGGACGAAGGGGCGGTTGGACCAGGTGATGGTGCTTTAGGATTAATGGAGTGAGTCATAATTGGAGTTGCAAACTGTCTTGGTATTGAAGCAATGGAGAAGCAATTACTTGAGCTGGAACAAGCGATAGTTCTGAAGATTCTATTATACAATTGGCATGCAATATGGTGGAAGTGTAGAAGGGAGTAGCCTCGAAAAAGGTGACATCAGCAGAAACTATATCATGTAGAAGGGAGCTTCCTTAATATTTTTCGGTTCTATCTGTGAAACAAAAGCAAGATTTATGCAATAATTAAATATATTTCTAGTGTTTACCCCCATTAGATATGTCTCCAATAATGTTGTCCAATGATAATCCTCTAGTTTGTTGCCACATTTTGTTTAGATCTTCATCTTTAGGATTGTCATCATTCTTTGCTTCATTTGTTGTCTTCTGCAAGTTTGTATCATTACCTGCATCTGATTCATCTGACTCAAGAGGTTTTGTCTGAAGGTCCATAATTTCATCAAAGACAATATGCACAAATTCTTCTATTGCAAATGTTTTTCGATTAAATACCCTATAAGCTTTACTTGTTAGAGAATATCCAAGAAAAATACCTTCATCGGCTTTGGAATCAAATTTTCCTAAATTTTGTTTTCCATTATTTAAGACAAAACATTTGCATCCAAAAATTCTTAAATGTGAAACATTTGGTTTTCTACTTTTAAAAATTTTATAAGGAGTACTTTTCAAAATTGGCCTAATAAGCATTCTATTCAATACATAACATGCAGTACTCACAGCATCAGCCCAAAATTGTTTAGGAACATTATATTCATTTAACATAGTTCTAGCAAGTTCCTCTAAGGATCTATTCTTTCTTTCTACAACTCTGTTTTGTTGAGGAATTCTAGGTACAGAAAAATTATGAGAAATGCCATGTTCTTCACAAAAAGTTTCAAACAATTCATTTTGAAATTCACCTCCATGGTCACTTCTAATGGCTTTAATTTTCAAATCCTTTTCATTTTGAACTAAATTAGCAAACTTTTTAAATTCTTTGAAAGCTTCACTTTTAAGAGTAAGAAAGAAAGTCTAAGTATATCTTTAATAATCATCTACAATAACTAAAGCATAATAATTTCCTCCAAAACTTTTTATCCTAGAAGGACCAAATAAATCCATGTGCAAAAGTTCTATGAGTTTTAAACTAGAAACAACATTTTTCAAATGAAAAGATGATTTCATTTGTTTACCCTTTTGACATGCATCACACAATTTATCTTTTACAAATTTTAGTTTTTGTAGACCAATTACCAAGTCTTTAGAAATGAGTTTATTCAATTGTTGCATATGAATATGACTAGCTCTTTTATGCCATAACCATGGATTTTCTTCTTTTACGACTAAACATGAAATATTCCTATTTGATGCGTTTTTTAAATCAATCAAATAAATATTGTTATGCCTAATTCCTTTTAAAGCAATTTTCAAATCCTTTTAATCCTTCTACATATAGCACATCTTTGATCATCAAGGTATCTTCACTTCCAATATCTTCTTTTCCAAGGATTTTTCCTTTGTTGTTGTCACCATAGGTGACAAAGCCTTGCTCCTTTTTTCGGATGTTTGTAAATTTCTTTGTCTTTGGTCATGTGTCTTGAACATCTACCGTCAAGACACCACAATAACTTCCTTGGTTTTTATAATTCCAGCGAAATAAAAAGAACAAGCTCTTTAGGTACCCAACTACTTTGTATGAGTCCTTTGGGTTAGATTTTAGAGATTTGAAATTATTTAACAACCCAAACATATTTACCACTTGAAACACCATAATGCTTAATTTTATTTTTGTTTGAAGTATAACCATTTTTCATACAATAAAAGCATGATACAACATTTGTGTTTCCAATAAGTTGTTCCTTTTTCTACCCACGTTCTATGGGTTCTATTATTATGTTTATTTTTTAAATTTAGGAACATACTTATTTTTAACAACCTTGTTTTCATTATTTTTACTACATTCTCTTAAGGTTGTGTTATCTAGTAGTTTCTTATGATTCACACAAGATGCACATTCATTACCACTAATAAATTTACCTTTTTCATGAAATAAAATTTTATTTTTCAATTTTTATTTTCTTCAAAAATATTTTCAAAATCTGATTTAAAATTTTTATTTTCCTCAAAAACGTTTTCAAAATTTAATTTTAAATTTTGTTTTCTTCAAGAATATTTTCAAAATTGAATTTTAGTTCTTTGAAATCCTTTTTCAATTTCTTATGAGTGTTATCTAATTTTTCAGATTCTATTATTCAAGCATCATAAGTTTCATGCAATTCATCTTCACTATATTGACTATAATTATCATAATAGATAGATGTACTTACTTGGCTTCCAGTGTCGTCATCTGCCATCAAACATATGTTTGTTTCTTCATCAGAATCGCTCAAATAAAAAATTGTTTCATTGTCATCGTCCCATGCGATGTAGGCTTTCTTTTTCTTGAAGGTTTTCTTTTCTTTCTTTTCTTCACCCTTCTTTTGATTTGGGCAGTCAACTTTTAAGTGACCTTTTTCTCCATAACTATAGCATTTGTAGTTTGAGGAAGATCCTCGGTTTTCTCTCTTTTCATATATAAATCTTCCTTTGCCTTTTGACTTAATGAACCTGTTGAGCCTTTTGATTACGAGACTCAAATTTTCTTCATCATCTGAGTCTTCATCTTCTATTTTGCTTTTGCTCCTTTCTACCTCAGATTTGCAGGCTAGAGTCTTTTTCTTAGTTTTTGCTTCTTCTTCATCTAGTCTTCCGAGGTCAGGTTCATGCTCTCTCAATTTCCAAATAATGCCGCCATAGTCATTGTGTTGAGATTGTGACTCAGAAATTTTAGTTACTTTTGGTTGCCACAACCTGTCTAAAGATTTCAAAATTTTTATGTTAAGCTCATCATTTTCGAAAGACTTACCTAGTCCAATGAGATGGTTTACGATGTTGGTGAAGTGTTTCTGAACGTTTGATATTGTTTCTCCTTGTTTCATCCTGAACATTTCGTATTCCTGGATCAAGGTATTCTGTCTTGCTCTCTTTACATCATTTGTACCTTCGTGGGTTACTCTCAGCATTTCCCACAACAGAAATCCTGTAAAACTCGTCAACAGTTAAAGTAGATGAAATGATATTACGAGCTTTTACATCGTTTTGGAATCTTTTCTTATCTTCAGCAGTCCACTGAACACGGGGCTTTGGTTGTTGCATATTGTTAGTAGGAACAAAAGGGCCAAATGCAATAGCTTCCCAAATATCAACATCAATAGACTCAATAAATATTTGCATTCTAACCTTCCAGAATGCATAATTTTCACCTGTGAATAAGGGTGGTTTGTTGATAGAAGCACCCTCTGCAAAAGTTTGATATGATCCTACCATTTGAATAACTATCAAATCAAGCTCTGATGCCAATTGTCAGAGCGACTATAGCGGAATGGTTACCGTGGAATAATAAACCACGAGGAGGGGGGGGGGGGTGAATTGGTTTTTAATACGAAAGTGTGCCTTTTAAAATTTCTTCTCAATTTAACTTTCTAAGCAGATAATAATGACAAAGTAAAGAGAGTAAGGTTGAGAGAAATTTGCACGGATGATTTTATCCCGGTTCGGATCTTACCAATCCTACATCCAGTCGCTTATCTCATCAAATCAAGATAAACAGTTCACTACTCACAAAATAATTACAAATTACAATCACAAAGAAATAATTTGTAGAAGTTTAGAAACCACCTCTCTTGATACCACAAGAGATGAACCTGCACCTCTTTTGAGTCTTCACAAAGGATGAAACACTTCCTCTGAATACTTCACGAAGGATGACTTTCTCTTCCGAACACTTCCTCAGACGCACCAAGGATGAACCAGCTATTCTTCTGTCACCGTAGTAGCACTTCAACAGTTCCACAGACAAGAGTTTCTTTAGCTGAACAAGATCACACAATTCTCAATGATTTGAGTTCTAGAGCACAAGGGAAGAGTTGTTGTTAAAGGAAAATGAGAGTGTATTTATAGACTTAATCAAAGACTCTTCCGTTCTTCATTTCCAGCCATTTAACGCTTTTAATCGATTAAAATACTTGTTAATCGATTAATCGATTAAAATGAGTATAACGGCTAGTTCAATGGCTAGAAAACTCTAACGGTTACATTTAATCGATTAATCCACTTGTTAATCGATTAGCTAATCGATTAAAATATTACAGAAGCAGTTTTGAGTTTTCAGCACTTATCAGGATTAATCAATTATAGTGTGTTTTTTGACTCTGAACATCAAATTTGAAATGTGAAAGTACATAGAATCAAACCACTAAGAACTTAAGTCCTAAACATTAAATTACAATTATTACAAAAGCTTTTTATAACAATACAAGTCTTCAAAGGATCTTCTTGAATCTTTATTTCTCTTGACTTGATTTGGACATCATCAAAACTTCATCTGTATCATTTTGCTAACATATACTTGAGAAATACTTCTATTTCTAATATTTATTTTCAAGGTATATCAGTTATGACCAGCTCTGCAGAGAACATGCAGTACTCATTCTGCAGAAACTTACATTGGATTTTATGATACAAATCTTTGATTGCTTGAGAGATAGTGATTTCTGATTTGTCTTGTGTGATTCTGTTAATAAATTGCCTAATTCAATGCAGCATGCTGTGTAAACTCACTTGCATTGTACTACTTTATGGTACTCTTCTAAGGCTATGTAAACAAGTCTTAGAAGATTTTCAGTTCTTTTATAAAGTACTTTTACAAATCCCTTTCTATATTGCTTACACTTCATTGGCTTACTAGACTATGTACTGTCATCTAATCAGGGAATAAGTCACAGGGTTGTTTAACAAAGGTTTTGATGAATTCAAAGGTAAGCCCTTGTACTCGGTCTTTAACTCGTAGTTTTTATTCAGAACTTCATTTTACCTTTATAATTCTGATCTTCATATATCTATTAACAGGTTTTGGATTTTTGCAGGTTGATGCACCTCATCATTATACCTGGATGCACTTACATCAGACTTGGTTGGATGGCTTAGGAGAAAAGGATGAAGTGTCTTGGTTGTTGTAGTTTCTAATCACTTCTCTTTAAAAGAGTATTATTGAAAGGACTATGGTTCAAAGTAAGTTGAAGCAGCAAGAATGCAGTATAGATGGCTAATAAGGGTATTTCATTTTATCTCTTATTGAATAATAATGTATTAAAAAAATTAGATAGATGTTATATTAAATTAACTAAACTAATTAGATTAATGTTTGTAACTTGGAAAAGTATTTCTGATTAAATAAGCTAGATAGATACTATACTAAATAAAAGTAGCTTATATTTACAAATTTATTGTACATCTCAATATATATAATTTCTAGACAATTTGAATATCTACCAGCATTTTCTAGATTGAGTTTTATAATTTCTTAGATGAACATTTTAGAATTGTTTTAGCCCCTCCTTCACACAAATCTCGGTAATCAAACACGTTTCTAATTGTTGAGCTCTCAGTTTTGATATTAAAAAAATAAACACATGAATTTAATTGTCACTTTTATATTCTTTTCTGATTTGACTTTTCAGGTAAGTTACATTACCGGAATTTAAGAAAAAAAAAGGTTCTGATTCAGAAAGTTTATTTTTCACTTAGTGGTGTAATGTTCGGTCTATTGCATTGGATAAATTTATATTAAATCAGTATTATTTGTGGAAAAAAGGATCACCTATCATCGTTGCTTGACTTTTTTGTAAGAGAATGTCCCACATTTAGAAATTGAGAGAAAGGCAATGAGAACACTTAAAAGTAAGAATCTTTAAACGAAGATCTGGTGAATTTTATAGATAAAATATTTTTGAAAGTAAGGGTAAGGTGTAGGTTTGGAGAAGGAGCAGGTAGTATAAAAGAGGTGTTATGGATGATTGCATTAATCATGAAGAGGAAGATGAGTTATGGTGGAACGCTAGTTTTGTTCCTTATACTACTCATTTTGAACCATAAAATAACACTTGCTAAGTTGAGCAGTGGAGAATCAGCTCTGGAAGAAATGAAGCCATCGTGTCCTTCTCCAAAAGACAAAGGAGACCCATCACATCCTGACATTCCTGTCCCGGCAACTTCCGTCCCTCGCTCTCGTCCTAAGCCGCCACCACGTATTGCCCCTATCATTCGTGTCCCGGGAATTTCCGTCCCTCACCCACGTCCCAGGCCGCCACCAACACGCAGACCTCTAAACCACTATGCTCCCTAGGCCTACCCTACCACTCTTTTCTACCATAAACAACATTCTTTCTCATCTTCACCCACCAAATAACCATCTTCACTTTCTTCTATCTCAAAACAAATTTATATTTAACTTTTGCAGTCTCTTTCTTTTTATGTGCAGTATTTAAATAATTTTTATTTATGAGAAGCTTTTTATCCAGGCTTCCTTCCATACCAAACTAATCAACTAAATTACCAAGTTTTAATTTCATCTCATATCCTCTAAAATAATTAATAAAGTGATAATCAATTTATAAGTTAGAATGTAATGTCTCCATTGTTTTATTTCACGTTCAAATTAATAAGATTATATCATCTAGTTAGATTTCCTCCTCTATCTTATTTTTTTTTTCATATAAGGAAAACCTAAAAAATAAAATAAAATTTAATGTCAATGTTTTATGTCTTGTTTTGAAATTTTGTTCGATTCATTGTTCTTAAACTTTTATAAAGACTAAAACCTCGTCTTATCCAATTTTGTTGTATTTTTTTTCTTAATGTTTTTCATTTAAATTATGCATTTCTATAGATTGGTGAAAATTATATGTTTTTGTGTATTTCTGTTAATTGTTGTCTCAATTAATTGTTTATTTTGATTTTGCAAGAGTTTTAGTGTTTAAGAATAATTGGTTTAATTTTTTTTGTTTGTGGTTGAACTACAAAATTAAAGAAGAAAAGAAAGAAAAATGGATCTAATAAGTAAAAAAGAAACAAATATATATTGAAAGAAAAGAAGAAAAAAAGTAAGGATCTAAGAGAGAAAAAATTGAAAAGTTCAACACAAATTTTGTCTGGATTTTTTGTTTGTGATTTATTGATCTATTGCATTGCAATCCATTTTTTTTAAGGTTTTATTTAACTTTTTTTGATAGTTCTATTATTTTCTAATTTTATTATTTTGTACTTTTTGTGTAGAATTTTGTATTTTCTTTCACTTCTTGCGTCAAAATTTATATCACACAACGATTTAAAATAATTTGGAATATTCTAAATATAAAAAATTAAAAATATCAAAATAATAAATAAGAAATTATCACGGTTAAAATAAACTAATACAAATAAATATTTTTAACGGTTTAACGTAACAAGAAGAATTTAACGTTAATAAAAATTAGTTACTTTGTAGTCACATGATACCATAATGACGTGATAAAAACAAATAAAAAATAAAAAACTGAAAAAAAAATGTAAAATACTATAAGCTAATATGAGACACGACATTATCGGAAATTTAACATAAATAGCCTAATTAAATTACTTTTAAAAACTATAAAACTTAATTGCACCATATTAGAATTACGATTCTTTTATGAAATTTTCAAACAAATTAAAAGACCAAAAAGGTAATTAAGTCTAAAGTTTATATCTGTTTTCCCTATATATAGGGATATGAGTTTTGGTTATCTTAAGCTTCTAATCGTAATGTATAATTAATTACTAGGATATAAGACATTGTGATTTAGTAATTAAGGATATGTTTTCTTCGTCGAAACATCGGATTTTAAGTAATTTAGAAGGTGATATTAACATTAATGAAGAAAATGAATTCATATATGCATGAGAGTAAACTAGGTGAAATCTAAACCCCAACAACATATTCATTTCATATTTTTAATATCATCCATTCATCTTTGTGTTTTCTTCAATTGATCAAAAGTGTATTCATATTTACTTTCTTGTTGTTGCATTCAAAACCTAAACTTGTTCTTCAAAGTCTTAATTAGTTAAGTAATTACATGACTGTTTAGTGCCGTGAGTCTCTTGGGAAACGATACTTGGTCTTACCAATTATTATTACTTGATATGATTCGGTACGCTTGTCGATGTCTTAACAAGTTTTTGGCGCTATTGCCAAAGACTTGTGTTTTAAACTATACTTTTGTGTGATTCTTAACCGATTAGACATTATCTTTAATTTTATCTTTTTATCTTTAATTTTTATTTTATCTTTTTTATCTGTTAGTGCTAATTGGGTGCTCTAGTGTTTTGTTCTCTAGTGTATGCAGGGTACAATTCGAACTAGAAACACAAAAGTTTCTAAACCTCTTCTTGTAGGTCTAGACAATTATAGAAGAAAAAGGAGGAACAGGACGTCCAAAGAACTTTTCCCTTCTCCTGAGACTCTTTTACAGCCTTCACCTCAAGTATTTGACCAGGAAATAGAAAATATGGTTGAAGAGCAGAATGGTGGACGTACCCTGGCAGATTATGCAACAGTCATTGATCCTCATCATTTTAATAGCATTGCAAGAGGGTTAATGCTGCAAATGTGGAGATGAAGCCTGCTTTGATTCAATTGGTGAAGAGCAACCAATTCAATGGATTATCACATGAAAATCCATATGAGCATCTGACCACATTCAATGAGATATGCAATACTGTGAAGATCAATGGAGTGCCAGATGAAGCTATTAGATTAAGCTTGTTTCCTTTCTCTTTGGGAGGCAATGCTAAGATGTGGTTGAATTCTTTTCCAGAGAACAACTTTACTGATTGGGAAGTCATGGTTGCAAAGTTTCTGAACAAATACTTCCCACAGTCAAAGGTGAACAAAGGTAAGCAGGAAATTTCTTCTTTCAGGTATGGCATGGATGAAACATTAGGTCAAGTTTGGGACCGATTTAAAGGCTTGTTGAGAAAGACGCCCACTCATGGTTTTGATGAACCTACAGTAGTCATTCTATTCCTTGGAGGTCTAAGCTCACAAACTAAATTGATGCTAGATGCTTCAGCTGGACGTAATATCATGTGCAAGACTCAAGAGGAAGCCTATGAGTTGATTGAAAATATGGCTACAAATGATAATGAGATGCACAGTGAAAGAACTCAACTTCAACAGAAAGGACTTATACAATTACAATCTCAAGATGCTCTGTTGGCACAAAACAAGATTATGACTCAACAACTGGAAACTTTGATGAAGAAAATTTCTCAATTGCCAAGGGAGTTGCAGAATGTGTCTCAAGTTCAACAGCAACTTTGTGAGTTGTGTGGTGGAGATCATATTAATGGTCAATGTGCTATGCCGGAATTTACCCAAGAGGAAGTCAATTTTATTGGTCAAGGTAATCAATTTCATCCAGCTAATTACAACCAAGGATGGAAACCTTACCCAAGTATGGGTCAAGGGCAAGCTGGGCAATTCAATACACCACAACAACAAAAATGACAGCAACAACCTTCCTTATCTGACAAAATAACAAAGCTAGATGACACACTTCAACAACTTATGCAAGTATCCAACTCCAATCACAAAAGCACTGAAACTGCAATTAGAAGGTTGGAGACACAAGTTGGTCAACTAGTTAAGAAGATAGAAGATTTTTGGGCTAATACTGAAGTTACCCCTAGGGAGGAGTGTAGAGACATTATTACTAGAAGTGACAAGGTGTTGGATGAGAGAAAAATAGAGAGAAAAGAAAAAGAGAGGTTGAGTGAAAAAGAAGAAAGTGAGAGAAAAGAAAAGGAGAAAGATGAGGGGAGATAAAAAGAAGAAGAGGACGAGAAGAAAAAGAAAAAATTATTTAAAAAACCCCTTCTTTACCCAAAGAATTATTATAGGAAGGAGAAAGAAAAACAGTTTGAGCGCTTTATGGAAATTTTCAAGAAATTGGATATTAACATACCCTTCTCTGAGGCACTGTAGCAAATGCCTTCATATGCTAAATTTTTGAAGGAACTTCTCATGAAAAAGAGGAAATAGGATGAAGAAGAAACTATTGAAGTGCAAGATCCAGGAAGCTTCTCCATTCCATGTACTATAGGGAAGTTAGTTGTTGGAAGAGATTTGATTGATTTGGGAGCCAACATCAATCTAATGTCGCCCTCTATGTTTAAAAAAATTGAAGGTTTGGAACTCAAGCCTACTCAGATGACTCTCCAACTAGCGGATAGATCTCTTAAATATCCTTATGGGGTGGTTGAAGATGTGCTTGTTAAAGTGGACAAATTCTTGTTTCCGGTGGATTTTGTCATCATGGAGATGGAAGAGGATATTGATGTGCCTCTTATTCTTGGGAGACCTTTTATGAAGACGGTTCGAGTTTTAATTGATGTGGAAAATGGAAAACTCAAGGTGAGAGTACAAGAT